AAGGAAATATAACCAATTATTCAGACACATTTAAACCAGAATGGAGGTTCAAATGATTTCTTTATTACAGACTGTCAAATTTGAACAAATTGCATTGACTAGAAGTCACTCAATGGTCACCAATTCTCTCTGTCACACAATTTAAGCGTACATTACCTTAAGTGGTGTTACATTTCTCATTCCTGAGTCTAAGTATCTTCCCAAAGTATATATCAACTTTCTCTTGCCGTCCAGACACATCTTGTGACAAGACCTGGCACATGGTCCACCTTCCTGCTCTGTATCACGTGACAGACATGTCCATTGAGAAGACTCCACAGTAAATGACCAGAAATCAGCCAGGTCCACCATCCCATCCCAGCCACCAAGCAGGTAAATCACCTGAGATTCCATGTCAATTGACATCTGATGCCCACCTCTCATACCCGGCCGTGAACTACTGCTATCATCATCTGCGGTCAGAACATGACAATGAACATTGGTGTTACTAATGTTACATACAGTTTTTACTGCTCAATTTCAATTTAATTGTTGGAAGCAACTAGAGGCCTCCTAAAGGAAAAATCCCTCCAATTTTCTATGCATTTTGTGAAGAATTGCATAGTTTATAAACATGCTATTTACAGATAGAATGTACGAAACACCAGGTGCATTTCTTCTCTGAGACTCTGCTGTGTTCTCTTCACACTGACAAGTATCTAATTTTTCCTAACAAGATCAGCTCTGATTCACATATTCAGGTCATGGGAATGAAGGAATTGATCATCACGTAAAGGAGTCATGATTGTTAAAAAAAGCCTCCTTGTCAGTACCTTAAGAAATTAATGCAAAGAGAACAGAATGGAGAATATGCAAACTGATGTTGGGGTGTAACAGGTTAAAGATCAGAGAATTCTCTAGCCACAGAATTACTACCAGTCAAATTTTGATGACCACATTATTTTTAACTCAGATGTTGAGAATTTTCCCCAGCATTTTACACTATTCTGCTACTTAACTTCTTAAGTGATACAACATTAAAAACTGAATTCATATGTGAATAATCTTGAAAATGAATGTGATTCACAAGGTGACCTTGTTTATAAAATCTTACAGTCCTTCATATGAAGGATTCTAATCAGTACATTAATTTTACTTCTAAATGGTGTTCTAAATGAGTAATTGCACAGCTTAATGACTCTTATACCTCAATCTCATCCCCTCAATAACTTACTTTGAGCAGCAAGAGGAATTATCGCTTTCCACTTGGGTTTGTAATCTTGCTGACTGATATAATGACTAAAAATAGCATCTAGAGAACAAACAATACACACAAATTAAAGCTTACTTTAACCCTTTAACTCCCAGATCAAATTTGTAATTCTCCTTACTGTCAACCATACAATTCTTATCATATTAGTTCAGAGAATTTAGTATTGGATCAACTAATTATCCCCAAATTGATATTTTTCTGTATTGTCATCACTTATCTGATTGATATTGTATTGACATTGTAAGGAGAAATTCTGTTTTGGTCACTCATGAGGATCGCACATTTAAAAAAGTTAATCTAATGTAGAGTGGTTTATCTGTGCTCAGAAAATGGCTAAAAAGGGTACAAAGAACAGACAGTAACCATTACAAGTGCATGTCAGCACATGAAACATGACATCAAATAAAACAAAAAATCTGCCTCTAAACTTGAAAGTTAATTTTGGTTCACATGCAGCTGAATCAACATTACTATGCAACTACCACCTCTACTAAAATCTCATATTACAGAAAATCAAATAGAAAATTACCATTTGAAGCTTGTTCTATGATTTTTTCACATCCATCGAAGTCATTATCTATCACCTGGTAAAAAATTATACAACAAAAACAAAAAAATTGCAATTTCAATTTACAAGTAACAGTTAAATGCAAAATATATCATCATGGACGTAGACATTTATTTAAATTAAATTAAATTGCCATCTTAAGAGTTAAATCAATCTGTTTACATCATGCGCACAGCACCAAACAATAACAGTTGAAGATAAACTCATGACAAGATTGTTACCAGTTTCTGATGGAGTTCTGTCAGCATGGGGTGCTCAAGATTAATTTTTGTTCTTTTCTGCAAGGATTCAAAAGCTTCTGCATAGTTGTGCTGTCGAAAATGTTTCAAGCAAAGACGTATGGCTTCTCTTTCACGATACTGCAAGATGACAGTCAGAAACAAAATTAATTAACAAAAATCAAAAGACCGGAATTAAGACAAAGTAAGAGAAGTCCTGAAATGGGCTGCTGTGGATGATTTTAGGTTAAGTTCAACAATCTGAATGGAAGTCATTTCCAGATTACCCCGCTGATGTCTTGTGTTAAGATGAACGAAATATCACTCTGCCATTGTCTCTGACTACAATCCTTTGTAGTAGTCAGAGTGCCACAGATCCCAAAAAGCCTTAACCTTTAACCTCCATGAGTCAGACTAAGACAGAATTTCTTCTTACGATATCAACACAATATCACACAGACGAGTGATGAGAATAACAAAAACTGTCTTGATCTTATACCAAATTCTCCAAACCAACCTCATAAGAATTGTATGCAGACAGTAAGGCGAACTACTAAAGAAATCTTGGGAGTGAAGGGGTTAAAACATCATGGAATACATAAAAAACAGGACTTTTCCAGGCCCAAGACTGATTTTTCCAAGACATAAAAATTTCACCTTAAACCATCTCATTCCCAAGATTTCAAAATCAATTCTCCTTACAGCCTATGCACATTTCTTACAACGCAAATTTTCAAAACTTTATTGTTTGATTTAAGCAGATTTCCAGGACTTTCCAGTCCTGGGAAAAGTCAAAATAGAATTCCAGCACTTTTCAGGTTTTCCAGGACCCATAAAAACCCTGGTACTGCATTAAATCCATTGTCTTAGAGCTATAGAGTGACTCAGGAAGCATCTAAGCTGGGATTCACCATACACATAAATCAACAAATGATCAAGAAGTACCACTTACAGTATTAAACCATGTAAGACTTGGCTGAACAATCTCTGGATCATCCACTCCCGAAAGCTCCACAAACCAAATACTGAAGTTAAAACTGGGTCCCCATGACATGATTGGAACTGAAAATAGTTGGAAAGAAAACCAGTAAACTCTGTTTGACTGCACTCTCAGAGGGCTTCTTTACAGCTTTTTTCCCCTGAAAATTTCTCAGTTTTCGTGGCATTGGTATCAACTGGTTAAATTTCAAAACTAAATTAAAAGCATTTTTTAATTCCATATATTTTGGTCATCTAATTTAAATTGATTTTTAGGAGAATGCTCACAAATAAAATTTAAGGCATTTGGCAATTAATTTAAAACAAAAATAAGGAACAATGATCACAACACTGAATTAAGAGGTAGATCGTAGGAACTCACCTATCTTTATAAATTGACAAGGGAACATTTTGCCATCCAGTTCATGCTGAAGCTCAAATGCCTCTTTAATGTGATCATTTCTTAGACCGCTGCAAAAAAAACAAACAGCATCTCAGAAAAGGCTCTACTGACATTCTGTTTCAACAAGTAGTTAACCTTCTGCACTCATGAGGTAATCCTTCAACCCCTAAAAATGACCAGCATCTAAGTTCTCCCTACAATGTCAGTCCTGAATCAAACAGTAAGGTTACAAGAATAAAGGAAACAATCACCAACTACATGTAAGGAAGTCCCTGATTATTAAACAAATTCTCCTTGTCAGCATCTTAAGATATGTATATAAAACAGCATAGAGAATATACATATGTATGTAAGGGTGTAGAGGGCTACAGTATACTTGTGGATAAAAATATAAAACAGTAGAGAAATCAAATCCTGTATCAATAAAATTTGATTATTTTTAAACACTTCCACAATATTCAGCCAGTCTTACTGGAAATCAAATGGGTCCCTGCAATAATTTATCAGGATCCAGAGACACTGTGAAACCAGTTACCTTTGCAACAACTCAGTCATGTGTTCATCATTCAGTCCACCATAAATCTTAAACTTCCTGAGATTGCATACATGGGTCTTCTCATACTTTCCAAATGTGATAGTCATAACAATAGCTGGCTTCTCCAATTTCAGTATAAGAAACTAAAAATAAAAAAGGTAAAAGCTTTCGCAGAAGAAAACAAACAAACAGATAAACAAACGATAAAATTAAAGCTAACTGCTGTTGTTTACATATACAATTCTCTCAACTCTTTCAACCCTAACAGTGACCAGCACCTGATTTCTTTATACTTGATTACTGCTAAGTCATTTATGAAGACCATGAGAATATAGAAAATGATCACCACCTTACAACTGTTAAACATATTCTTCTTGTCAATACCAAATAAAAGGTATAGGGAAGAGTATAAAGAATGCGGATACTGATGCTGGGGTTTAAACAAATGACAAAGATCTTTCGTGTGAGAAAGATGTTCCTTGTTTTGTCACGAGCAGGGAACAAAGGAAAAAAATTTTGAGTCCCCATGAGGTCAATCACACCTCAGACGTTTAGATTCTGTGCTCCGATGCTCTATAGTGAGCAAGATCATATATGACACACGCTCTGCATACTTTTTACATCAGCAATGTCAGTAGCGTCATGTTTGGCAAATAGAATAAGAAGATGGTAAGTTTTAAGCTTGGTAAAGAAATAGAGAAAGATGTTTTTCATCTTGCCACAAGTGTGGGACAAAGAAAAAAAACATTCAGGGTCCCCATCTTTGATCTGAGTTTCTATTTTATAATAAACTTTAAAAAACTTAGGTGTGGCATGCACAAGACCATAAGTTATATTGAAAACTAACATCAATGCCTAATGTCATAATACTGGATTTCTATCCTTTACAAAGAGCAAACTCTCCATACTTTTGTCCATTCACTGAGGACAAAAAAATCAGCTGTGATACACCCCAAATTTTTTCTGTGCATTTATAACCTGATATAAGGTATACATCAAAACCAAGGTTAAGTGTAGATGGTACTCAAGACAAAACTATCAGAGCAAATCATCCTAGCATCTTCCAATTTGTAATTAACAAGCTGCTCCTTACTAATCATTGCAGATACAGACATCGGCTAGACACTTGCCTAGTGATTATTTTATATTATGATTTGAATTAATCATGTTGTTTAAATCGCGAGTATTTATCACAGATACACGACCCTGTTAATGATTTATAAGCTTATCCACTTGACGATCGCCATTTAATTCTTACCTGCGGAGGGTAGTTGCTATCGGAAGACCATCTCGAAGACTGGTCATTCGGTTTGTCCTCCAAAATATTCCTGAATAAAATTTAAAAATTTCCAAAATTAGCCGGTGTCACCTTCGCGAAATTCCACCAAATTATATAAAGAAGCCTTGATGAGGTCTTACGTGGGCAAATAGTTTGCAGAATAGCTGGAACATTTGTGGATCGTGTATGTTAACACACGAGTTTCAACGGCTCCTGAAGCCGCCATTTTGGCGTACTTCGATGATTGCGCAGTTGCATGCACGCCCGAGTATCTTCATGGGAGAACTGAGCCAGCTGTAATTCTACTCAGCCGATTCAGCAAAATGGCGGTTGTCTGCAGTCGAAATCTGCGATCTTTGTGTGGAGTTTTTCGAGCTTCTTTGGGCCTAAATGTAAGATATTACTTATATTTAAAAAATTTTGGTGGTATTTTTGAGTTTTTTCTGTAAATTTATCGTCGATCTTTTCTTGAAATTGATTTCTTTTGCGGCTGTAGTTCTAACATCACATGTGTGGAATAGATTTTAGCTCAGAGTTTGAAGTTGCCAATAGACAGCTTCGTAATCTAAATCGTGCGCAGTTGTAAACTTGTACTTACAAGCACTGTACATTATTTTATCTCTTGTAAGAAAATTCCCCAAAACGGTTTGTCGATGTCTTCAGCGAGAAAGTATACAAATGGAAGCGTAGCAGGTGAGCTTCATTGTCCTATAATTATCTCTGCCCCATGGAATCCCCCTCGAGAAGTCGAGCTGTACTTAAACGCCTCCTGGGAGCTGAAATGGATCCGGGG